CCCCGCCCGTTCCTGGCCAAGCCCGGGTCCTGCCCAGGCCGCACGCCAGAGGAGGGGAGCGCGATGCAGGGCCGGACCCCAGCTCCGCTGGGCTGCCGCTGCTCTCGACTGCGGGGAAAGGAGGCCCTGGGGCCAACCCGAGCCTAGCACCCGGACCCAGGGGTTTCGGCGTCGGCACGAATCGGGCCAAGCCAGGGGACCCCAAGAACCGCCCAAGCCCAGCTCTTGGAGCCGCGAGTTCTTCCCGTGCGGCTTCCCCACTAAACTCCTGCCACGCAAATCCAAAAACCCTGTCCCACACCGCTGTTCTGACTCCGAGTTTTCCCCTCGGGGTGCACTCGGTGGAGTGGCGTCTGGGGCAGCCCTCTTCCCGCAGGGTTGCTTCCCGAGAGACTGGGACAGGGCTTGTCTGCAAGCCCTGACTGGGAAGGCCTGGGACAGGGCTTGTCTGCGAGGCCAGCTCTCCCCCGGGTCCCCCCTCCCCCAGGGAACACTAGAGTGTCACTGAAAGTGACAGAAAAGCAGGCTGAATGGTTTGCTTTAATTACTACCACAAACTTCCCACTGGCCCCTAATTCCGCGCTTTCCTTTCTGTGGAATTGTGGAGCCATGCGGGCCCAGCCCCACCCCCATGCAGCCCCTTCCCTCCAGGAGGACCCCTCATCCCTGCCTCCAACCACATGGACAAGAGACAAGCTGTAGGATCTTGTCTAAAATCCTCCTCCACCCCACAGTCCCCACTCCCGTCCCATGGTCTCTTTGCCGTCACACCTGCTGTCCCCTACCCGTCCTTGACTTTCTCTCCCTAGAGAGAAACTAGTGGACGCATGAACCTGACCTCTCAAACTGAAACCCCAACCCTGAACTCCTGCTCCTCCATCTCCCTTCAATGGCCTTACGCCCCAAGGGTCTCTAGGAGTCGCTTGGTCACTTGGGACACCTCTTTTCCCCAGCCTTTGGCATCACAGCCTCTGCCTTTAACAACCAGTGTGCTCAAGGGCCATGCACCCGCCTGCTCCCTCTGCTTCAGGCTGCCACCCAGCGCCAGAATATTTTGCGAAGTGTCACTCATGTTCAGAACTGTGTAGTAAATGGGGGTCTGCAAGACCTAGCCCTCTGTTACCTGCACTGAGATGTTCTCCAGCGAATGAAGTTCTAGCCACTTCCAGAAAGCTTTGAGCATGACCTGACGCACCATCCAGAGAGTCAGTGAGATATTATGTTGTCCTAAGATTTTGACACTTATTTTCCTTGTTTAAGCCCTTATGTTAACAGTGAGGATATAGTTTTGTGGGTGACCTTTCGAAAATCCGATCAGAGCTTTGTTCATACCTAAACGTTTCTTTATACATTGTGAAGGCCAAGCTCCTACCAGGAGGAGCCACACCAGAGTCACAATCACCCTGGGCCTTCGCCGGGCATAGCAATGGAATGGATGGCCGCTGCAGGTGGACTCCACACGCAGAGCACTGTGCCAGGTAACTAGACATAAAAATTGGTAAGAAATGAATTACCCACACACACATAAGGTTGACTTCATAATGGAAAGAAATGCATTTAATAGGGACACAGATCGATATATACACTTCAGTGTGACAGGAAGAGGTGACTCAAAAAATTTTTTCCTCTAAGTGCAGCAGAGTTTATCAGAAACAGTCACTGGTCTAATTTCCATGAAATAAAAACAAATTGAAAATTCAAAAACAGAACAGCAGGATAAGTCCCGATGATATTACTAAAAGATGGTCCTCTTTTAATGCCAAGGAAAACATGAGGAACTAGGATAATAAAGGGAAGAATGTGACCAGATGGTTGCTCCCAGCTAGACAACATGAAAAAATGAGACAATATTGAAAACCATAGTAATATATTTTTGAGAGAGGACACAAACCACTATGAAAGATCTTTTACTCTCAAAGGACAGAAAGAAACAGGAGACCACTCTCGGGATCCAGGGTAGCCTTTTGCAGCAGCTGCAGGTACGTGAGGTTCTCGTGCGTGTTGGGGTCGAAGAAGCCCTTGGTGTCGTCGCTCGGGTCCGCCAGGACGCGGTTCATCTCCTCGTCGAAGTAGCCGCGCTGGTAGGCCACGTGCACGGGCACGCGGTGGCTGTGCACGGGGTCGATGACGCCGCCCGTGGCGATCTGGGCCTCCAGCAGGCGGATGCCGTGGTCCCGGACGATCAGGTCCTTCTTCATGGCCTGGAAGAGCGAGATCTGCTCGCCGGTGTAGGGGTCGGTGTAGCCGGTGACGGCGCGCTCGGCCGACAGCAGCTTCTCTTGGATCTCGCCGCCCACCACGCCCGCGGCCACCGCCTCCTCCACGGACAGCTTCTGGTTGCGCACGGGGTCGATGACGAAGCCGGTGGCGGCCTGGGCCTCCAGCAGCACCAGGGCCGTGCCGGGCCGCAGGATGCCCTTCCACATGGCCTGGTAGATGCTCATCTTCTCCTGCCGCCCGGGCTTGTCCTTGGCGGGCACCAGCACGCCGGCGATGCAGCCCGTGCCCTCCAGGTAGCGCCTGACCGATTCCATCTCCGTCACCTCCTGCAGGGTCTTGGTGCCCTGGGCCAGGCCCTGCAGGGTCTCAGAGTCCAGGATCCCGGACGTGCCCAGCTCGGACGCGGACACCTGTCGCCTCAGGCCTCGGCAGGACAC